AACTTGTAACTTAAAGGTTAAGAAAGGAGAGATGAAAAAGAATCATTTTTATGATATGCGGGGCAGATTTTTGGAATATGTGCTAACAAGATGAAAAGGGAAAGCTCCAAATCAAGAATCAATGAAGTTCTGGAGAAGAGGACAATAAAGGAAGAAGAAGAAGAAAGAAAGAGGAAGAAGAGGATTACTGCAAGAGTATTTTGGTTTATGTATTTTATGATTATGTTTATGTTGTAGTTAAAATAAAATAAAATATTTTTAAAAAAGATATCCCTTGATTTAAAAGTTATTGATTTAAAAGTTATCCTTATTCCGTTTCATTCTGACACCACATCACCCTTATCTACCCTCATTTTAATACCACAGAAACATGCAAAGGCTTGTGGAAATAGTTGCATTGAGCTGTTGGGTGTTGATGCCAGCATGCAAAAGGTGGAGATCAGTTCCAAGGCTTTAAAGTCAATTCACACACACAAATCAAATGTTCTCCTTCAGTGCTACTCACCCTGAGAACTGTCTCCTCACTTGGAGACCTAGAGAAGCATTACAGCTCCATAGGATGCCAGCCAATACCTTAAGAAGTGGTAATTCTAGTCCTTTATTACTGATCTATTGATTTCTGCTGGATACAGTTCATATTTCCTTTCTCTGACATAGAAAAGTCTTTAACATGAAAAGAATAATGTGAAAAATAAAATTATACCAACTCTGCAAAGATAATAGCTTTTTATTGATAGTTTTGTCCTGTCTTATATTTAGGAAAGATATATGTAACCTAATCTTTATGTGATCATGTGAGAACTCTTAAAAAAAACCACTAGAAAGTGCAAACTTTTTAATGCTGGAGGAGCAGCCCAAAGACACCTCTGTGGAAATAGGAGGAAATGTAAATAGCAGTTCTGGCTTGGTTAGATAAGGCAGCCCCATTTCGACTGGAGTTTTCTGCTGCTTTAAATTCTTTTTTTTAATGTAGATCTATATTAAGCTCATAATGTGAGGCAAACATGTAGCATTTCTATCAGGCGTCATCATCAGTTTCTCTCATTCCCCACTGCTGGTTTTAAGGCAGGGCAAAATAATAATTAAAAAATAAGCTGGAATCATTCACCCAAGTGTAAATATGAAAAGATGGCTCATCATAATCATTTCTGAGAGTTTCCATCCCTTAATTTCACCTTTTTTTCTTCCTGAAAATAGGTTTCCCATCTGCCTATGGCTATAACCTTTCTGTGAATAATGTCCATTTTCTGCCTTCTCTCAGTTAGTTTCAAATTCTGCCCAAATCTTCAGAAATATGTGAGGTGAGATATACTAATAGAGCAATGCAGATGCATTTACTCTGGGCAAAATTAATAATAATTGCTGAGAAATAATTTAGGCAGTGACTGACTTTATTACTGAACCTTGCTTCAAGATACTTTTCATCATTAAATTCTGACTAAAATTTTAGCATATGCTTTCAGTGATAACACATACTCATTAAATCAAAATCCAAGTTGTCTGATCCCCAGGCATCTCGAATATAATATATTTCTGATCTTACTTTTATGAAATCATAGTGATTAAGAAAGAATTATGTGGGCTTCAAATGGAAATTCTTCTCAGGCTATTTTGTGTATATGTGTGCGCCAAGATATGAGTATTTTGAGATCCAAGCAGTTACTGAAATTAACTAATTTCAGTTAACAGAGTGCACTGTAACCTAATTCCTTTAGAGTGATGAACAGATAACTAAGTCACCTTTCTAAAATAATGTAAGAATTAGTCTTCATATTACATTTTCTGACTGCATGTAAAAGTTACTTTTTAAAGGTATTTGATGGCATTTCATAGATATTTTGTTAGGAATTTTCCAAATTTTATACCATTCTTTTATCTGTCGATTATTAAGGCTGTTGATTTAAATCTTAGAGGACTGGAAGGAGTGTATCTTTAGGACACCTTGGACTGAATGAGACCTCCCAGGGGGCTCAAAAATTAGACCCCTCTGCATCTCCAGTACCCCCAACACCACCACCCCGACTTAAAAATTTAAAGAACTATTTTTAGAAAATGAAAATGTCTCAAAAGGTCTTTGTGTGCATGGGAGGGGTCAATAGTGTCATATTTCAAGATCTCTTGATACCCAGTGGGTCCCCACCCCCTACTCCCAAATTGAAATTTTATTACCTAGATGTTTATGACCTCTGTGCCATTACAGGAATGGAGAAGGCAGAGTTTGAAAAAATAACCTTTTTTGGACAACTCCTCTCAGGATCCTCCAGCTCGGATATTCCAGGAACTGCAGTCCATAAAAGTTTTTTTCCCCCAAGCTCTGGGTAAAAATGTGTCTTTCAGAAAGAAGCAAAGGCTTTCCAAGCACCACTAGACTTGCACTAAACTTCTAAGCTTAGTCTTTACAGTTTTTGCAAGGTCTGCACACCCACCTCCAAGATCTCTTTCCATCCTTTTTGTGGGAAAGAAATGAAGCTGTGCAAAGAATATTATTCTCATTGGGGCTCTGTAAATTGATGTCTGCCACTTCAGCTATTGAAATACAGCTCTCTCTTTTGTTTATTTTTTTTTCTTTTCTTTTTTATCCTTGACTTCATGAGTGAGTTATTGCTGACTGGAGAAACACTGATTCTGCGATAACAAAATAATTTGTTGAGTTGTCCACAAAAATGCTGTTGGCCTACTGGCTACCAACATGTCCAAAGCTGACTACAGAACTCCCTGGCAGTATTCTGTATTTCTTCCAAGTTGTTACTGTGAGATGCACCGCAGAGGAAGAAGATCTGTGAAATTTACTCTCTTAGGCCAAGACTACATTAGCAAGCCAAATTGCCAAGATTCATCTTTGTTGCAATTTGATTTGCAGCCTAGTCGAATTTGCATTACGTGATCACACAGGGACCGCAGATTGCTTCAGGAGGTCAGTGTTCACACCCGATGTGATGCAATTTAAGCAGAGCACACCATTACCGAAAGACATTGCATAAGTAAAAGCACCACATTTTTTTTTTGTCAAAGTTGCTCTTGTTGTTTTCCATGTTTTAAAATATAAAACACTTTTAAGAATGCTTGGGTAAAAATAGGAAACCAAGAGAGATCCTTGTAGGGCTCAGCTCTGTGGCAGCTTTGCCCAAACCCATTGCATTTGCTTTAGAAGGACACAGAGGGAAACGGTTATGTCAGTGATCTACAGACCACTAATAATGCTATAGATTATTACCCAATCAGTTTCGTGACCGTCACAATCCCCTACATGGCCATCCTGGCCTTTAGCTGGACTGAGGTTATGGGGCTTTAGCAGAGGAATTTCAGTCAGGTTTCACATCTGAGAAGCTATTTCAGTAACTTATGTATTGAGCAATATTCTATGGAACATCTGGATATTCTTGTGGGAGAGGTTCTGCTGAGCCTTATGCTGATCTTCCTTACGTCTTTAAGAGACTGGGTTAAATCATAATAGCAACTCTGTCTCCTTTGCAGGGAGGTATGGGTCTCCTGGGAGATCTGGTTAGAACCAGTTATATGGGAAGTCAGTCTGTTTCTGTTGTACATGACAGAAGCTGTTGTACATTATAGATGTACTGTACATTAAAACAGTTTTGGAAGGCATATTATTTACTGGTTATCTCTGGCTTGAGAGGAGACCTGTTATCCATTTCACACAATGAGTATCTTCCTCCATACCCACCAAGGGTGGGAAGTGAATACTATACTTCCTCGGATGGCTGCAACCCCCCATGGTGATGAATCACACCCTAATTATGAACATTTCAAAAGATGGCATCAACCTTCCTAACTCATGTTTTGATTACATCATTAAAGCAATTGTAAAACCATTTTGATTAAGCATTGTAAATGTCAAATAATAGGGGGGGAAAAGATCCCCAGACATTCTGGCAGTTGCCCCTTTTTTGCTTTCTGAGAAGCCTGAATTCCTCGCTTTCTTTTCAACTATCAACCAACTCATTTTAAACAAACAAACAAAATCCATTCGTAATTTCAAAATTATGAATAAACACACATGTTTTAAAAACTATGCATAGGTACTTTTTCCTGTCCCAAAAATGTACTAATTTTTCTTGGAGAAAATGGAATCCACCTTAGGAAATAGCAGAAAGGAAGACCAATGTAATGTGAAGGATAATGTTGCATCTCAAAGGCACATTATCCCCCTTTTGATTTTCTTCACGCCCCTGCAGAGGGAGACTTCTCCTCTTTAGGAACCACAAGGTACCAGAAATTTAAAGCAAAATGTTGCAGTATGCCACTTTTCATGGTGCCAACCAGACAACTGTACCATCCCATCTTCAGGATATTGCATTCCCCTTTCTGCTTGATGTTTTGTTCTGCTTCCTCCAAAAATCATCCAGCATCTTGAAGCCACTGAGAACACTCAATCATCATTGCTTGTTTTTAGATAAATGATTTTAGGAAGGAGGAGGCAGTGCTTGGGGAAGGAATTTTTGGATTGCAACTCCCAGACTCCTCCATCTGCCATGGCCACTGCTGGATGGAGGATTCTATTCATTAACATCCACCCCAAAATATTTTTTTTCAAACTCTAGGAAACAGTACCACTTTGATAATGACAAGTGCATCACATTGGGGTCAGCTGGTGACGCCTTCAGACATTACTGATCATGGATATATTTTTTCAAACTCTAGGAAACAGTACCGCTTTGATAATGACAAGTGCATCAAATTGGGGTCAGCTGGTGGGTTATTGGCCTTTCTGACGCCTTCAGACATTACTGATCATGGATGTTAGGCCTGTTACTTGGTTGCATTTATATCTCCCAAATTGTGTTGTATAAGCCCACACTAAATGTTTAATATTCCACTGTATACAGATCTTTGTGAAACACATTTTTCTGTTGTCTTGAAAAGCAACAACAATATGGATTGTTTTCTCCATCGATAATCTTAAGACAAATGAAGTGGTGATGCTATTGGAATAAGTTTCTTAATAACTCTTAATAAGTTACTTAACTTCTGTGGAACATGGCTCTTTCTTGACTCTTTCCTGAATCACTTTATTTTTCTCAAATGCATCACGGGCAGTAATGGACATAAAACAATTAATGTTCTATAAATCAAAATATTAAAAGTGAGCTTCAAGGCTGGATAAAATGTTAAACAAATGACACTTTTTACAGCTATTAGCATTACATAGGCATTCTTCAGTCTCGAGAGCTATTAGCATTAATGCTATGATAATTGTCCATGCTACTTTAGAAGCAAGAAGGTCAAAACTGAATTTTGACAGCTTAGAAACAGACTTTTACCCACCGTAATGGCCCCTTTCAATCTCCCACATGTAAAATGGTACCATTTAGAATGCACATGTAATTTATTTAAATAAATGTATGTACAAGAATATTGAAGGAAAAACTACAGAATTCAGTACAATGGTTGCATGCATGAGGTACAGGGAGGGGGTGAAATTCCATCTGTTTTTTTTAGTAATGGATATGGACTGAAAAATAGGAAAAAAGATTGAAGATGAGCTGCAATTTCCATCACCACATCGCAGGATCTTCATACCTGTAGTATATTAGGAAAAAGAGAAGAAAATATGCTATTGGTCAGTAAAAGAATGGAAGAGGATGTAAGATCTCTATATTTTCAAGGTCATTGTAAGTTTGCTGAAAAACATCCCATATGAGGTCCAATCTATAGCACTTTCCCCAGTCATAGTGGATTGAAAGGATGATTCATATACAAACAGAAATGTATTTTTATAAGAAGGAGAGAACAATGACTTCTAATATAGGCAAGCCTGAATGGGATTGCACTCTAGACCAGATTCATTCCTGAGGACTACAACCTTGTGTGCACTTTTATGGGAATAAGTCCAATGAACGCACAAAGATTATTTTTGAATAGATCTATTCTTGAATAGACAACAGAAACATGGTGCCAATAACTGTAATATATATGCCACTGTAGAAGTAAAATGGTGCCAATGATTGTAATTTATTTGTTACTGCAGAACACAGCAAGATTAAAATGTGACTGTCTATTGAGTTATAAGCATATTTGCTATGCCACAGCAATAAAACAAAAGCAAAAATATTGAGTACCTCCAAGGCTTAGAAATTTATTTCAGTGTGAGCTTTCATGCATACAACCATTTCTTCAGACACAAGTCAACCTTCAACAGCACCAATCACTCAGAGGCCCAAATCCTCTTCCATAGTTAGTGCTGGTGTAAAGCAAATGGCATAATTTTACAGGAGAAGTGCCTTGAGTTAAAGAAATCTCTGTAGACATTACGTGTTGAATACCAAGTCACATATAGGCTAACCTGTCTAGCCTTGAGCAAGCTACATCAGTGGCCCCAAAAGAATGAACAAGTAAACCATTTCTGAATTCTTAGTACCTGGAAAATCCTGTGAAAGGTCACCATAAGTAAAAATTGATTAGACAGCATGCCATTAATTAAAACACCGAAATATGGAAGATGTTGGTAAATATTGGCCAATATCATTTGTCTCAGTAGCTATCAAAACATTATCCAAATCATTGAGGTCTCTAGTCACTTTGAATGTGGCTGCTTTGGAAATAGGTTTTTATAGGGAGGGAGTAGAAGAGTAACTTTTGAATAATTTTGCTCAATGATTTTAAACTAACGACCAACATTTATGACATTCCTCTTTGAAGCAGACATTTTAATCTTTTGCTAAACCATAAAACAGGCATTTGCTGCCATCAGCCGTTGAGTCTTATCTCTGACACCCACCCTCACTGACAAAATGATATTTAAAAACCTCAGACTTTGGCTTTTAAGGCAGCAAATCTGCCAAGCTCTTTGGACTTTACTTGTGCCAGACCTGATCAAAAAAAATCACCCTTGGCATTTATTTTTCATGACAGGGATCACAGCCCAGAAATATATACAATGGGAACACACTGAAGAATGTCAAAACAAGCCAAGTGTGCGCATTTGTTATTGTTTCACAACCAAGCATGTTCATGCCAGCAATAAGTGTAAAGCAGAACATAGGCTCTTCCCATAACCTACACAGGTTCACTAGAACAGAAATGGCCCAAGATATGTCAGAAAATATTACATGTATAGAATTAGTATAAGTGATTGCTGAACCTTAGACCATTATCTCTCTTCAGTCACTTATCTAAACACATAAATAGGACTATATTTGCTGTGGGATTAGATGATGTAGGAGATGCCCGTCTGTCTAGCTGTCAATTGCACCATCCTGTTGAGCTCAAGAGTCTAACGTTACAGAGCTGCTGTAATCAGAAGGCCTCCTTTAACAGGAACCATGTGGACCAGTGGTCCCCAACCTTGGGCCTCCAGATGTTGTTGGACTACAGCTCCCAGAAGCCTTCACCACCACCTCTGCTGGCCAGGATTTCTGGGAGTTGAAGTCCAAAAACATCTGAAGGCCCAAGGTTGGGAACCACTGATGTGGACTATTAATGATTCCCCCTCCCCAAACTATGGAACCCTGGATGGCCCCTCAGGACACAAACGACATGGAGCTTTGACACCAGCTAAGTAGTACAGCATGCTAAAGAAAATGTCCACCAGATAATCTGACTGTGGATTTACTAAAACTGGCCTTCCCTAGTGGTTAAACTAAATTTTAATCTCAACCCTCTGATGGAGGCCTGCCACATAGCTGTGTTGCTCCCCCCCCCCGTCCCCCAAAGCCAAATACTGTAGAAGTCTTCAGCTTCAAAGGAAGGCAATAGTGGCAGAGGAGAGAGATTGCAAACTGCTTGGTGATTTTTTTGTTGGAAAAGATGGGACATCAATTCCAAAATGCTACTTGAGGAGGAGTTTCCATCGCGCCCCCAAAATCTGTTTGCGTGTTGCTCAAGAACGCTTGCCTGGCATGAACAACAGCTGTGCCAAGAATCTCTGTGAAATAGCCTGATGTTACCATCAAAAACCAGCTATCTATTTAATTATTTTCAGTGGTCCAACAAAAATATTGGTTCTTTCTCCATTTATATTGCCTTAAGACTATTTTCCATGACTGGGTGGTCTGTAAGTGCATTCAGCTGAATGTCTTATAACTTCCTCTTTGGTTTGTGCTCCATGGTCAAAAGTCTTGGTGACCTACAAATGGGAGGGATGTTGGGGTGAGGCTTGCATACATTTCCATGTCCCTACCACAAATACAGCCCCATTCATATGTTCGGGTAAATGCCTAAACAGAGTCACTAGTGATGCAATAGCCTCCACCACCACACCATGGGAAAACAGAAGTGGGTTCTCCCATGGTATGGAGGAAATGAAACTCCATAGTTGGGATTTAACAATACAACAAGTATGTCTGTGTACATTAAAATAATAAATAAATATAAGATTCCGGGTGGCAACCACCCATTTTCTTCACCTCCCCCAAAATATCCGTAAGTAAAGATAAGTTTAGGGGACTCAGGAAAAGTCTTGGGAAGTTGCCACTCTGGCCCAAGATGCTCCTGCATCAGGTGACGGCCTCACATGCCAGGTCAAATCAGGACTAGAAGAGGGACAATCTATATATATACTGTATATATATAGATTGGCATACGTTTCAGGTATGAAATTTATTCCACAAAATACTGAAAATGCATTTCCACCTCCCTCCAAATTATTTTGCTTAAATTAAAAGAGGGTGGTTATGAGGAAACCCAGAACAGATTTATGTCAACATCCATTCTGGGTTTAAAAAGAAACTACAGGACTTCTGAGAGAAGCAGTGATGTTGGCAAGACTTTGAGTCCGAATCTTTAGTCCCAAGTCTTGAGTCCCAAACCCCAAGCCCAAGTCCCTATTAAAAATAGGGTTTTCCCCCAGAAACAAAAGGGAGGAATGGGTGGGTTCTAAGTTGTGAGTTGAGTCTGAGTCATTGAAAAAAAACCTGAGGCCAGTCGAGTTGAGTCACAGTTGTGAGTTAAGTCGAACTTGACAGCAGGACCCACAACTCAAAGTCCCCATCCCTGCAGAGAGAGAGATTTTCTCCAGAGTCTGGGAAAGTTACTTTTTTTAGAATAACACTCCCCAGATCCCTCAATCAGCCTATGATGTACTTCAAAAAAGGTAGCTTTCCAAAACTCCTCAACATGTCCACCATCTTTTAACAAAATTAAGGGAAACAAAGAAAAGGATAGGGAACATTGGACAAAATGTAGAATTTGGTTTATACAAAGTGACACTGGAAGAAATATTTTAGTCTTTCAGGTGCCAGAGCATTCCGTCCTTTGTTTTTTTTCTGTCTCTCTTTCATTTTTTTCCACTTTTAATTTTGTCAACATGCACAGATGGACAAAATTTCCTGCAAGTCACAGGCAATCCTCATTTCCGTCCTTTGTTTTTTTTTCCTCTCTCTTTCTCTTTCATTTTTTCCACTTTTAATTTTGTCAACATGCACAGATGGACAAAATTTCCTGCAAGTCACAGGCAATCCTCATGACTTCTATAAGGCGGGGGAGCAGTTTTGTGAGGAGGTGGCATGTGAAGGACGTGCAGGTAAGAAAACTGCCCTACCTCCTGCCAGGTTGGTAGTTCCCGGTCCCATAATTTGGCCTGGAATGCAATGGGGGGGGCAGTTTGGCAAGAGTGTGAGGAGGTGGCATGTGAAGGACGTGCAGGTAAGAAAACTGCCCTACCTCCTGCCAGGTTGGTAGTTCCCGGTCCCATAATTTGGCCTGGAATGGGGGGGAGCTCCCACCAAATTACAGTGGTGCCCCGCATAGCGAATGTGAAGGACGTGCAGGTAAGAAAACTGCCCTACCTCCTACCAGGTTGGTGGTTCCCGGTCTCATAATTTGGCCTGGAATGGAACGTTTAATGCGTTCCTACTGGGGAAAAACTCACCGCTATGCGGGGAATCCTCCATCCGGCCGCAATATTCACTGCCCGGTAAGCGAGGGCAGGGCGCGAAAACGTTGCGAGCGGCCAATTTGTTGACCCGGTGGCCATTTTGGAACCGCCGATCAGCTGTTTGTAAAACATCGCAATGTGAAGTTCGGTAAGCGAAACACTTACCGATCATTGCAATGCAATGTTTTCCCTATCTAAAACATCGCAATGTGATCGCATTAGCGATCGCAAAAAACGCATCGCTATGCGGATTCGTCGTTAAACGGTGCACTCGTTAAGCAAGGCACCACTGTATAGGACTGAGAGTTTGTGCCTCCTAATAATCCCATCTGTCCACACTATCATGGCTACCTCTTTGGAGAACGTCCACCTCTCTGAGCCACTGTTTTATCGCTGGTTCCGGCTAAGAGACTTCGGAACCTTGTGCATTATTTTAACTTTTTAAAGGAATTACTTTTTGCATTTAAATCCTTCATTTGAATTTTAAATTAAGTATGTAAAATATGTGCTTGAAAAAATACATGACAGAAAATGTGGAACAACTTAATGAGAATAAGTATCACAAGCCACACTCATATTTACCTAGATCTCGGTATGTTTTCTGTGCTTTCCCGCAATGAGAGATCGGAGATCAGTGTCTCTGGGCTGGATCGCTTTCCATACCTGTTAAAGTAGTTCAGAAACAGATTTGTATAAGACCAAGACCAAATTACACCTTTTGAGGTAAAACACTAGTAGTCTCTAGATGCCTATGTAATATGTAAAGCATATATTTTTCAGCTTCATGGCAATCTATAAAGTCTTTATTTTACAAACAGATAGAGAAGACTGAAGAGTGATCCTAAAGAACAACAAACCCAGATACCTACAAAAATATAGTTCTGAAGTACTTGAGGGAAAAGGGACAGAACAGTTTTTTTTAAATGTGTGAATTTCCTTGGTGCATCAGAACAACTTTCCATTGTGTATTCCTCAGACTGATTCTGGCCATGTCCAAAACAAATTCCCCAGTAGGTCCTAGAAAGCAAAAAACGCTGTACAAGTGAATGTTAAAGATGTAGTTTTGGAAGTTGAGGTAATTCATTATAGTTAACTTTCTAAGGAACCCCAAAGTAGTCAACTGCCATTGTCGATATGAAAATAACAATTTTCCATGTGATTAGTTACTTTTAAAATAATGTACAATAATGCTATAAATCCGGTGGATACTTCAGTGGTCTAAATATCTTGCTGAGAGTTTGATTCCCTCCTGTGCCTCCTGTGTGGCCTTAGGCAAACTGCATAGTCCCAGAGCGCTCCCAGAATAAGAGAACCACTTCTGAGTACTCTCTACCTAGGAAACCCTGGAAAAAATTGCCAGAAGTCAGAATTGACTTGACTGCATGCAACTATTATTATAAAGCTACAGTGTATGGTACAAAACACATGTCCCTCCTAGCTGCTTCATGGTTGCCTTGACATCCATAATAAAACAGATCAAACCAATTGCGACCATATGCTATTCCTCTTCCACAATTTCTTGATGTCATACCCTAATAAAATTTTAGTTACTATAAAATTAACTATATTGCAAAAGGAATTATGTTATCCTAAATTGCAATCAAAATGCAAACCACCGTCATTATTGGAAAAGGAATTCATTGCAATCAGTCATTTGTAACCATTACTTCCAGCCAGTGGCTAACCATCATGTTTGTTTCCAACAACTAGCAATTAAAGATCTATTGGCTGAAATCCTTTTGTGCAACTGTGTCTATGCAATGAGAATATCATCAGTGATAGGCTGCCACTAAATGGCTTCCTGTTCAGTTTTAGGATGCACACGACTTGCATGCAATGAAACAAAGTCATGTGCACCCAAAATAAAAAAGAAGTATTTAGCAGCAATCTGATAATGGCTAGTATGTCATCCCCACTTTGCAGGCAAAACCCAACCAACAGGATTCCAGCCACTTCTTTATAAAGATGTACATTCCATATTTAGATATTATGCCACTCTTAGTTATTACTGGGAAATTTCTCTTCCAGATACAGTACATATCTTCATTTCTGGCACTGGCATATATTTCTAGGAAGTAACTACTTTAAAAAGGGGTGGGTGGGTTTGTGATCTCATTAGGATTTCATGTATTACATTCTAGATTATACATGCAGTGGCTTTCTTTCTTATATGTAGCCAACAATATATTTTTCAGTGTTTATCTGCATCCTACAAAAAAACATTGGTTTTACATAGTGAAGAATCTGAAGAGAATCAGTTGCATATAAGGAGCCTTGTGGTGCAGTGGTTAAACTGCTCTACTGCAGCCAAAACTGTGGTCACAACCCAGAGTTCAATCCCAGGTAGCTGGCTCAAGGTTGACTCAGCCTTCTAGCCTTCTGAGGTTGGTAAAATGAGTACCCGACTTGCTGGAGAGGGGGACAATGTAACCTGCATAATTAAATTGTAAACCATCCATAGAGTGCTTTAACCACTATGGAACAATATATAAGCAGCACACTTTGCCTTGCATTATTAAATCACTTATACAGTAATTTAATGAAGCATAATCCTGAACTCCAATCCTCTTTTAACTCGAAATATCCAAAGCTGGTTTCTGCTTTCTTTCTGCAGAGCTCCTCCAGATGTAGATGTAGCCAGAGCTTTGGCAATGGATGAGTAAATAACATCTTCAAAGAAAATGCTTGGGCTTTTCCCATTCCCCTCCCCCCCCAAATTACAAAACGATCTGATCCAGCCACCCATGGTGAGGCAAAATCTTTATTGACATCAATTAATAGTACTTATGGGTGTAGTCTCTTACAGTAAAGATGAGGCTCAGCTACAGGAGAAATAATGGAGTTCTAGCAACACTACTGTTGGCTCATGCTATAAAACAGAGCTCCAATTTTAAAAACCAAAATATTGTAAAGAAATGCTCTGACACCATGAGACTGGCTTTATTTATAAGTATAACCTGCCCTGCATTCATTATTTTTAATATTAAAAAGACTCAGATTAGTTCTGTTTAACTTTCACGTTCTTTTTTCATTTCTTTTTTTAAAAGCTTTTAAAATCAATGAGAAAGTGGCACAAAACTTTAAAAACATCCCATTCAAAAAGCCTCTAAAGATGCCTTAAAAAGCTCTTAAAAATTAGCAGAGATATTGGCAAGTCTTTCGGGTCTGAGTCCCAAGTCCCTCTTAAAAATAAGCTTCCCCCCCAGGAAAAAAAAAGAGAAGGGTGCGTGGGTTCTAAGTTGCAAGTTGAGTCTGAATCATTGAAAAAAAGAAAAAGAAGTTGAATTTGATTTGAGTCACCAGTGCAACTTAAGACCAACTTGACAGCAAGTCCTGTGACTCAAGTCACCATATCTGAAAATTAGCTAGCGAACATTCATAATTATAGTGTAGCCCTTCTTATATATACACTATACTATATAGTAGATAGATTGATTCATGATAGATGTATCTATATATCTATAAATCTTGCCTACTGACTGCCGTGTAAACTGCATGTCGTAAGAAAAATGTGCCTTCAGTCAGTCACCAAATTTGCGAGAGCCATTCTTGGAGTTCCACCTTGTACTTCCAATGTGGCTCTTCGCTTAGCGGTTGGGTTGATATTCATTAAAGCACAGGCTAAAGTCCTTATGGTGAAATACTGGCTTAAACTGATTTTTTCATTAGAAGGCTTGGCCCTACTGATCCTACTAGATTCCTTTCAGTTGGAGTGGAAGAAGCATATAACTGAAGAGATCTCGAAAATTGGCTTTTCCCTCAGTATACTTATAGCAATGGGTCTCAAGGATGCCATCAAAGCAGTGAAGTTAAGGGTATGGGACATTGAACTACAGGACCATGTTGGCCAGTTAGGGAAATATAACTTTAATAAGAAATCTGCTTTTATCACCTCTTCGTATTTAGCCAGCACTATGTCACCTAAAGCTATAAGGGCTTTTACACTAGCTAGGCTCAATGTATTTCCTTCTAAGCTTCTGGAGGGAAGATTTCGAGGTTTGCCTACATCAGATTATCTCTGCCCTTATAATAGTGATAAAGTTGAATCAATTGGTCATGTTCTCCTTTTCTGTACTTGTTATCGGGATCTTCATATGGAGTTTTTATCACCTTTTATCTGTAAATCTCCCGGGAGATCAGAGGAGGATTATGTCCAGCTGCTACTCTCTGACAATACCCCTTATATTACAAGACAAGTGGCCAAATTCTGTGCAGCAGCAATGGTTATTCGTAATCAAATGTTTGGGTAGGTGATTTTAGATGGATATGTTTTTAATATAACACTGGCTGAGGTTTTACTTATATTAAGGAAATATGATGTTATTAACTGGAAAGAAAGGGGTTGTTTTATCACACAGAACCTCTTCAAGTGACAACCCTGGAATGAATTGGATTCATTGTCCAGAGGAGCAGTCCTTTTTTGACACACGTACGGATTCAGAAATATAATAAAAGAAGCAGTGAACCATCCCTACAGGCAACAATTGGCTCTTGAAACATTGCAACTGTTAGAAGAATTATTGCTTGGTTTATCCATAATCCTTGGTCTGTCGTGGGTGCATAATATTATTATGCTGTGTAAAATTTTGTTTGAAGATAAGTATTTGTTTGTTTCTTTGCCATTATTATTTATTTATTTATTTAACTTTTATGTCGCCCACACTACCCAAAGGTCTCTGGGCGGCTTACAGCATTTAAAATACAATAAAAAAGCAAAATAAAAGCGCAAAATAATTAAAATGTAATTAAAATATATATTTGACCATTTTTATTTGCTAAATTTGCCTTTAAGCTGATATTATCTTCTAATCTAGTGAGAGCACAGAGCCAGTTAAAACCTAATTAAAGCTCAACTTGTTTGAATAATAATTCAATTAAGGGATAAGCCAAAACTGGACTATGTAGTAATCATTTCCTGGGACTAAACTGCACATCTAATAAGATCTGAATCAAACTATTGTGACATTCAAGTGCAGAGCATTCCACTTTTTTTTACTTCATATAAGAATGACTCTCTTTGCGAAATTGTAATCCTTTTTCTTCCCTTTTCCCCAAATGCTATTTCTACTTTACAATCTGTAACCCAATACATTTAGTCTTTTCCTAAATTCTACTTTTCAATAACATATTTTTACTGTTCTCGTCTTCTAAAACTTATTGGCCAAAATTCTGTTGCTTAGCATAGTAAATTGCAGTAGAGTAGACCCACTGAATCAGTGGGGATTTGATGAGTCAGCTCCTACAGAAGTTCCATTAATTCATATGAGTCAACTCCAGTTGCAACGTACTTCAGTGTACTAAGTCTACATAACTAGTGTGGGCCTGTTTGAATCACTGAAATGTACAAGCCCCTACTGATTTGAGGGGCCTGCTCTAGAGCAACTATTACACTAAGCGACAAGATTTCAGCCAATGTGTAATAATAACAAAAAAACCTATAAGCATTAAAAATAATGGTTGGTTTGAGACTTTATTATACAGTGGTGCCTCGCTTAACAATTTTAATTGGTTCCAAAAAAAATCGCTATATGAAAACATCGTTAAGCGAAACATCATTTCCCACAGAGATGCATTGAAAACCGGATAGTCCATTCCAATTGGAACGGATTACCGTCCTTAAGCGAAAATCGCCATAGAAAAAACGTTAAGCGAAACGCGGTTCC